CCCCCTTACTCATGATTTTTTACTTATTTATTTCTTCGTTTATTTCTAGTTGTTTTCCGCAAAAAAAAAATATTATACAAAAAACCAATTGGGAAGCCGATATATTATATGTGTACACATACACTTACGTTACATACAATATGTACATATGTTTAAGTGGGCCCCAACTATCTGTTACGGATTCCTTGAAAGCATTAAAAATGAAGAATGTGAACGATGAATTGTGAAAATTACTGTAACAAACGCCGAGCGGGCGAGCAAAGTACATTGAAGAAATTAAAAGTAAAACTAAAACTGAAATATAAGTAAAGGAAAAAAAATTGCTCATAAATAATGGCGACCAAAAGTGTCGAAGAAAATTGTCAGGCCAATCATTTCAACGGCAATGTGAGTGAAATATGTGCAAAAGTATGTAAATATATGCGTGTTTTTAGCAAGACGCTAGGTTTCTTGATAGATCTTCAATAGGAAACTGCAAAAAGCATATTGACCACAACAACAACGCTAACACTAATGCCAAAGAGACAACAAACACTTTCGCTGCATTTGCATTTGACTTTGGCGTTTTGGTGTAATTGAGAAAAGTGAAAAATCGCCGAGAGCTAACAATGTAACATAAACACACAAACAAGCATGCCAGCGATTAATATGCAACACAAGCGACAATTGCTTGCAACAACACACACACACACTGCTGAGGACACATCACACGCGCCTAACACCTACAAAACTGCTTTTGTATGTCGGTATGTGTGTACGTGTGTATGTATGTATGCAAGTCAGCAAATTGATGCGCCTCCTCCAATGACAACACTCGGTCAGTGGAGCAACAAAGTGTTGTTGTGCTGTTGTGCTGTTGTGTTGTTGTGCTGTTGCGCATTGGCGTGCCACACGAATAACCACTTCCAATAACTAATGATGTTGTCAATGAAAATGGGGTTTGTTGTTTGTTTGGCTCTCTTTTTTTTCTATGCGAAATTTGGTCAGAAAATTCCAATGAAATCACGCGCTGCACTCACAACACTTAACGAGCAGCGAAAATAGACATGACCGGGAGCGTTTTATTTTTCGTGTGAGTTGGCTAATGAAAGGAAAACTTTTTAGTTAAGTCATCATTTTGATAGTGTCAGCAAGAAAATTGGTTGCTTGGTTACGCTTAGTCCAGTATTTTTCGTAGACTTTGCAACACCGCGTTGGACTTCAGAAAGATATAGACGAATTTGAAAAACCTGCGCATGTTGGAGCATAATATCGCGACATAACTTAAAGTCGTTAAAATTTGCTCACAGCCTCTCGTGTTCGCCGACTAATTCTATGTAAATGTGGTCTATGCGATAGCGGAAGAAAACAACCTTAGGAGCAAACAAATTATAGATTATTATCGAACTCATCTCCAAGTAGGCCCACGAAATGAGTATGCCGAAAGAGACTGATCCAAAGGGAGTTTCTTGCTAGAGGAGTGGCGCTGAGAGGTCACAAATGAAAATAATAGAGAGATAGATAAGTATGGAAGTTGGGAAACGCGACCAGTAGTCTATTGCCTTTATGAAATAGTGTCGTTCAAACATTTGTTTTAAGACGAATTTACTTTGGATATTTTTAAACCAATTCTAAATAGAGTAAACAAACAACAGCAAATAGGTTGGTTGGATTTTCGACCGAAAGATATTATAATGGCAAACCAGGAATTTGTAACTGAGCTGAGCATTCATTGCTAGAAAAGACAACTGCGTGCTCACCAAAAAGCAAATGACCCCTAGCAGTGTGTCTCTATACGAGTTGTAGATGGCGAACCTACAACATTGACCTAAACAACCGCACCGTTAGTTCTACTTTCTTTATACTGTATAAGGAAGCGAGGTATATGGGTATTATAGTGGACAAGGTCAAAACGAAATATCTTCTGTATCTGTCATCACACAAACAATCATCGCATTCGCCACTCGTCTTCAGTCACAATGTTGAAATCGTAGCTAACTTCGTCTATTTTGAACCAGCAACAGAGCCAGTTTTGAAACTCAACGTAAAATCTCTCTTGCCAACAGGCGCTGAGAAGGTAATTGAAAAATAAAGTCCTCTCTAAACCAAAAATGCTATATTCTACAAATGTCGCTCATCATTCTCTACAATGATGATATCTGACTAGTCGACGTGTAGAGTTTTCGACTTCGCGTAATATTTTTGATATATATATTTTTTTTGCGCTTTGGCAACGGCAAATGCCGCGGCCGATATCACAGCTCATCGTGTGAGATATACAGCGACATTGACATTGTCCAGCGTATGAAGAGACGGCAGCTTACTGACGTAGTCAGAGGTTCGGATTGATAAGTATACACAAACCCTGAAAGTTTTCGATATAATCTGTGGATACAAAGCAAGACCCACACTGCGTTGGAAAGACCAGGTGAGAAAGGGCCAGCCTGAACTTGGTATGCTGCAAAAATAAGGAATGATTGGCACGCTGTTGTTAACTTCACTATAATCGTGTAAGCCGAATCTACGCCCATAAAGAGGAAAAAGATCTAACCACTGGTTCTTGTCCGGTCACTTTGAGGTATTCTTTCAAATTTCAATGTTCATAGTTCGCCTCGAATTCATCAAAGGATGGTCCTGATTTTCCTAAAGGACTAGCTCCTTCAATACTGAGTATTTTTGTCGACCACAACCAAGATAATAGAACTGTAGAGTTGCTCAACAGTTGTTGATAATGCCAGATTTTATCATTGGCGATATGACCAACAAATACCCACCGACTTTCAGAGTGTCATTTTAGCTTAAATTGCATCGATTCCGTTCACTTGACCACAGGCCAAGGATTTTTTGAGATTTCTTATTTGTGTATGGCAGTACTCGATGGCAGAATCTCACCGTAAGCACAACTTCTTCAGCAATTCAGCTGACCCTTGACTTAAATAGGCCCCAATGACTGCATGGAAGTTCCCCTCCCCCTGCCATTGAGCTGATCTCTAGGTTTGTGCGCGAAACGAGATCGTAAGCTGGATTAAATTTAATTACTTTTATGTTAGGAAAGGACTAAGGTGAATAGCTTTTTTATTGAATTTTAATGCCGACAACATACAACTCAGCCCTGCTAGTCTTAATTATCCGAAATATCTTAGATAATGGTGAGGGGAAAAATTGAAAAATTATGTAAGTTGATGAGTGCTCGGCGACAATCATCAGTCGGTCAGATTTTTAAGCAAAGCAATAAGGGAGGGTCGAAACATATATGGATAGGCCATAAAGGGTATTTAGACTTTCAATGATTAGCACCGCTGGAGAACTCAAAAAACATCGTCTGCAGCGCTATATGCGATTTTGAGCATTCCACCAAATAGTGGCAGAGCCACTGCAGGGTTCTGGCTTTCCATACTTATGTGGTTAGCTAATGTGATTAGCCAACCGGGTCATAATGATGATGCAGCGGCATAATGTTAAGAGGCGATAAAAATACGGTCTGAAAATGGAAGAATTAACATACATTTACTGGATGCCAGGTCACTCGGACACTGAAATGAGATAGCTAATGAACTAGCTAAAGACAGTGACCTTTTACAACAGGACACAGTAATGAGCCTAGTAGTTCCGCTCAGAGAAGTAAAGCAAACGTAAGATGTAATCCTTCTTCCTTAAGCGAATATACTTTATGAAAGAGCTAAGGGCTACATAATCTTGAAAACCATGTACAAAAAAACGTTTGATGCTAAACTCGCATGCTTTCAATATAGATCTGGTAGGAGACAACAAATATAGGAAATGCAGGGAATACAAGGAATACAGGGTATGTGTGCCGACAATGGAGCACATAATCTGCGAGTGTCCAGCATTAGGCAAACAAAGACTATGCTTACTTGGCGCAAAAAGGCTACAGGGCCTTCAAATGGCAATTGCCAAGGAGCCCAAAGGACCTTGGTCGTATGTAGTACATCTGGCAACACGATGGGCCTGTCAGTTCAACTTAACCTAACCTTACTTCGAGGGGCTTCAGCTACTTGATAGTAGGTAAGCACAGGCAGTCCGATCCGATTACAATAATAAAAAAGCAAGTCGTTTGTTTTTACAGCTTAAATAAATATCTAGTTTTTGTATATATAATTGGTGCTTTGTAAGCGCTAAAGCGATTTTCGGCCCATCTCCTCCACCAGTTTGTAGTTTTGCGTCTTGATGTTTTCCCAACAAATGGAGGCACCTACAGTTCATTCTAAGCCGCCTCCGAATGGCTGATAGTCAGCTTTTTTACGAGGAGCTTTATTTGATGTCAGAAATACACTCAAAGCGGTTGACATTCCTTGCCGAGGGGCGACTGCGCTTAGCTCAATTTTCGTATTCTAAGAATTTATATTTTATAAATTTTCTTCATTTAATGGAGTTTAAATGCATTTATAACGCCAATTATTAAATGTTTGTGCATACATATCATACATATGTACATACGAGTACATTGGAAATGTTTTAGTACTTCTCACAATAAGCTTATTAGTGCTATGACTATGAAAATAGAATTTGTAATAAAAATGTGGCAGCTGACAGTTGATTTATTCTATAAGCTTAACGAGCATACATATGTACATACATACTGCACTTGTCTATATGGGTACTTTTAAATAAAAAAAAACGGGTTTTATGATATTCTCACAGTTGTAGGGAGAGTTCGTGGCATGGAACGAACAAAATAAATAGCAGTAAATAAGATTGTACTGAAAAAAGGTTTTTAAAATTTTTCAAATATTTTAATTAAGGAAAGAATAATTATAAGATTTACTGTAAACTAATATTTAATTTTCTCTTTTTTTCATAAGAACATTATATGAACTTTTCTATTTAAAATGATTTATTTATAAGTAAGAAATCTTACGATTAATTAGATTATTTAGATTTGAAATTATTTGGAATTTTTTTCAGCACCAAAACCTTGGCAATGACCCACTGTGCTTAGTTCTCTTAAGTTTTATGTTAAAACATTACATTTCATGCCTGCATTTTCGTATTTACTTCGCAGCAAAATAGTTGTTCGAGCGCTTAAGGAAAATATTAAAATGTATTTGGATCGAAATGAAAAAAGTTTACTTTTCCACTGCATATTTTTCGTCACAGTATTTCAAATAATCGGTAATTTTTTTTTTTTTGTTATTTTGAAAGCTAACACTAAAAGTAAACCATTTATTATTGCATTTAGTATTGAAAATTCAATCAGTGGACACTTGCTATGCCGATCAATATTGTTTGACGCTACGCAATTACAGCGGCCGCTATGTGGAGGAGGAAAATTATGAATACATTGCGGATAAAACACTCTGTGATGGCTTTTGTCACCATAACAGTACCTCCAAACGCTTGCGTTGTTGTGCTTACGATGCCAATGTTAAATTAGAAAGGATATCGGAGCAAAGTAGGGCGTCTGTGTGTGTATGTGTTTTATATTGAGTTGTTAAATTTCTTTGTGTTTAGTTTGCAGATTCAACCATGTGAAACGAGGCTTCATTATACGCGGCAAATTGGCTAAGGACAACGAATTTCCCTTTATGGTGGGTATGCGCGATGGCAATGAGAGGTAGAAATAGTACGCATTAAACCGAGCGGAATGGACGAAAACAATTTTACTGTCAATATTTTATATTCCAATTGAACTAATTTTTCGGTATGAACAGTTTTTGGTCTTCATTTCGGGACTGTATCTGTTACAACTCAGTTTGAACGGTAAACATATGCCGTTAAAAAACTATTGCTATCAGAATCCAAATACAAAAGAATTGTTGATAAATTAAGTTTAAGTAGAAACGAAAAATGCGTTCTTTTAAAATGCTCCCAATGGTCATCCTAGCAGCTCTTGATCCTATCTCACGGCTCTCTCTCTGCTTGCCATCCTATCTAACAGTATTCATGCAGCACTCATATGAGCCTTGGGCATGTCAACTCTTTCGAAGGAGTACATTTCTGCCTGAGCTATTTATGTGTCATCCGTGCCCGGTTTGTGGTTTCAAACCATCTTATTACGTTCTGTTTATAAACTGAATTCCTTGGGAAGCAAACAAAACGCATCGTGTCTTGTCTAGCAAGTTCATCCACCTTCGTGTTTCCCTCGTTATCTCTATGACTGGGGTCAGTGCAAGCGAAAGTATACTCTGTTTGACAATGTCCTGCAGAGTTAATGTTTTCCCAACTGTTTATTCTAAGATTTTCTTTTATGTCAGATATACACTCGAAAGGAAATGTCGACCAAACTAGACCCGAGTCCTGGCTTTCCGATTATCAGTACACAATACAACCACTGAGCTATTGCGGGCGCCGAAAATACAGATATAGTGGCAGCAAAGCCACTAATAGTCCAGGAGCCTAAACGAGAGTTACACGGGAGAGTTTCGTGAGGGTACGTCACTGACATCAGCCCTCTCAACTTTTCATCCATTTGTGCATATTTTCACACTGTCATCAAGAGTATAGTATTTTATTTTATTTTATTTCGTGCCATGAAGAGATTTTTAGTAAATTCTTCCTCGAAAGTACACCACTGATAACCACGTCTTTCAATTTTATTCATAAATGGCAACAACACAATTGCCTCATAATAGAGTGATACATGGATCCGTCGGTAAATCCAAGAACTCAAGCCTCATAGCACCCTCTCGTGTCTTTCTACTATGTTGTTTCTCCAGTTTAATCTCTTATCCAAGTGAACTGTTGAAAACTTGGCCTTCCACACTGGACTAAGCTGAGCAGCGTGCAAAGTAGGGAGGATAAGATCTTGTATATACAACAATATCCTCGTGAAAAAATATCACATTTACGCACCAACATCACCTAGATTAACTGCTTCGCAGCCTCACAATCTCTACGACATAATTTTTTCTAGATTTCATAGGTACCTAGATTTTTTTAAAAGTTTACCAACAACAGAGATCCTTAAGAGTTTCAGCAAATACATTTCGTGTTGACAAAATAAGATTTTGCCGTATTTTGGGCCGCATGAAGATCACAAAATGCTTATTGATATTATTAAAATAATTAGTTTTTGTTATTCTTTTTAGGCCGCCTTGGGTTGGCGCGTTAAAGATGAGTTGAGTGGTAACTATACAATAGTTTATAAATGTGGTGGCACGATATATGAACGAGGTTATGTGCTCACAGCAGCACATTGTCTTTATCATTCGAGGTATACATATACATATTTGAATACAAAATTTAAAAAAAGAAATATAAAAAATAAATTTTTAATTTTTCAGTGATCTGCCTGTAGTAGTACGCCCTGGAGGTTTCGCTTTAAACGATACCGAGGCGTGGGATTTGGAAATAGAAGAAGTTATTGAACATCCCAACTACGAGTATCCCTCTGCGTATAATGACATTGCGATTATACGCCTGAAGACAGAGTTTTAGTGAGTAAAAAAAGTATATTATAAAATAAAGAAATTAAATTAAAAAATACAAACTTTATTTGCGAATCACCCTAAAAGCGGAAATCCATTTCACGATGCACCCGCTTGCCTCTGGAATAAACCAACTGCTGAAGGAAATGTTACAGCCATCGGTTATGGCGACACACAGTATGGTGAGTGCTGCATACAGAAAATACTCACTGAATTTATGCAAAAAAAAAATTCCTTTCAGCTGGCGTCTCCTCGCCGCTACTTATGAAAACGAATTTATCAACAATTCCCAACGACGAATGCAAATCACACTACGAACCGGATAGTGGCAATCTATGTGATGGAATTATTTCAACGCAGATTTGTGCTAAGGACAAGGAAAAAGCAAAAGGAGAATTAAGGGACACCTGTCAGGTGAGAAGTATCTTTCATTTCGGGAAATACTAAAATTGTGTTTAATGAAAATTTGTATGAAATTTATTAATTAATGAATATTTGTATAAATATTGTTTTTAGGGTGACTCTGGCGGTCCGCTTATCAAGTTCATATATGAAGAAGGCATCTACTACACAACATTATACGAGTACATTGTTGGTATAACCTCGTTTGGTGTTGGCTGCGGCACTGGTGCTCCAGGTGTTTATACGCGTATTTCCGAATATATTGATTGGATTGAAAATGTTACATATCGCGCGGTACCAGAATAAATAAAATTTATATTTTTTTTTATTATTAAAAAAACACGTTTTGAATAAATTCTAGTATGACGAGTGACTGTAAAAAAATATTTTTGATAATATTTTTTGGATATCCTATATTAATCAGTGATAACACTGCCATGTATCGGTTTTGCGAATAAAATGTGGCATAGTAGTCAGTATGTAGACTGTCGATTTTCATAAGCCTCTCTTGGGGCGAATTTTCCACCAGCAAAATTGTTCGTCATGGACTGATTATCACTTGGTACCGAGTCCGAACTATAAGATAGATGCATAAGAACCTCCCAACCAAGCTTCCGGAGCTAGTGGTTAAAGCTGACTGCTTCTGCGCGATTGGTTCTTTCAGACGGTCTAATTGTGGACAGCATAGTTCCGAGCCAAGAGTTTTGTCGTATGGGAGCAGCTCACAGTAGATAGTTCCCCGCTGATACCATCAAACCCGTTCTCGCTCATGTCATCTTTCTAACGCCAGTTAACGGAACCCGTTCGGACTAATACAACGCGAGATACAGATGAATGACGCCATCTATGGGAAAACAATGAATTTCTTTTTACTACACCTTATATATTTAAATTTGCATCTACATAGATTCTTTCATACACTTTTATCAGCTCTTTCCAAAGTAAAATTTCCAAATTCTTTTTAAATATCTTCCTTAAGAAAGCTAAATTATAGAACCTACTTTGACACCTATGCCCTCACTGCCTCTGCTAATCAATCTTATCTTCTCTCTACTTTCATTCGGACTTAAGGCTGAACTCAAATCGCCACAGCTGTGAAAGGAATGGCCATCACGCGACAGGAAATCGGGTGTTGCGTGAAACGGATGAACGGAATGCAAGTCCGGCAGCAGACGAAATGTAGTCTTTCATTGAGTCTATGTTTTTACAAACCTTCCAGACTAGATACCCAGCTACTATATACTTAAAACTGACTATGTATATGAATCATGAATAGAAATATTCAAGAATAGAGCCAAAATAAGGTCGCGGGAATGCGAAATCAAGATCAAAGCTCCTTGATATGGCAAGGAATTCGTAGAGTGTTCTAAAAACAAGATCATAATTGTAATAATTTCCCTCCATTTGTTGGGAAAACATCAAGACATAAAACCAAAAATTGGAAGAGGAGCTCGGCGGAAAATCGCTTAAGCGGTTACCAAGCGCCAATTATATATAATTGTAATAATTAGCTTTAATTATATATTTTTAAAAATGGAGTTTGAGAGCGTAAACTTCAATAAGGAATATTAAAATTAATTTGCGAAAGAAGCTCTGGGCAAGCTATTGATGGCGTCAAAAATTAATATTAAAGACTGAATAAATCATCGAAAAACAAGTGAATTTAGATTTACAAGCATACAAGTAAGAAGACGGGAGATCAGTTAAATGAAGTGGAGCAAGACAAAAAGGAATAAACTTTCATTGGACACTTTCAAGTCTAGAAGAATGCCATTCACAATAGATTTTAAGTTCAACTGGTGTTTGGATCCTTCTTTTAAGCCACAATGTGGGGTGAAACTGTCAAAATTTATCCAAAAATAAAAACATTTAAATAAAACTCATTCATACATAATGCAGTTACAGATATGAAAAAAATTATGAGAAATTTAAATCTTTAGAAAATGAGCTTCAACAGTTGAATACCTCAACAATTAGCTCCTCACTTGGCGTCAACAACTGCTTTTTGCAGGACTCTCCTTCCACCAGTCGGGTTTTGTAGAAATCCTGTTGGAAAGCAATTTTTTTGGTGGAATTTTTTATTAGCACTTGCCTACTTACAAAATGAGTTCTCAGCAACTTTTCAATTATTAAATTGATTTCTACCAAATATTTGCGCCTTTAACTGGTTGCCCTACATCATCATATCATCTTCCAGCCGATTTGACGCCGCTTATCATGGCACATTTTTTCGTGGAATTCAGATATTAAACTCGCTTCGTTTAGATTTTACCGGAAGGCTGACTTTAAGATTTTAAATGAGCACTTGAAATATTGCTTCAATATAAAATAGAGAGCGGAAAAATATAAAAAAAATACTCACCGCCACACTGTGTGTGTGTGTGATTTTTCATTAAAAAATATAAATATGAAAGCAAGTCGAATATTTGGAAACAAAAAAAAACATATAATGAGCAAAATTTTGTTATTAAAACGATTTTGAAGAAATAACAATAATAAAAAAAATGCATTTCTGTTCAATGCAAAAACCAGTTAGCAGAGTCAATTCTAAGCTCAAGAATTTTTTTCCCACAGCTTAGAAGCGCTATTGGCTCTCTTATTATTAGCTAAACATGTTTTAAACCTTATGATTTATAACAATTAGATTCTAATACTTAGCAGCGACGATGAGTGCTTGCATTCACGTTTCGTTTACACAACAAATCAGTCAAATTATTGAAAAAGATGCGTTGTTTAAGTGAATTTTTTAAAATATTAATCATTGGCAAGTATTATGAAGTAAAGGAAAAAATAAATATAATATGCATAAAAACTTATCACTTATCTTTATGCAACTAGTCATGGGTTCTTTGCGCCTCCTGGATGCTTGTCATGATTCTCAGGAATGTTATACACCGCAGAACTTTAAGGGTTACTATTATACAGCTGAAGAAATGGAAAAGCTTTCGGAAAGACAAAAAATGAAATGTGCGGGATATTGCCAAGATAAAAATGTAACACTTATTTGTTGCACCATTCGCACGCTTCAGGAGAAATATCGCTTACTATATACATGTGAGTAAATATATAGCATTTTTCAAGATCTTTGCTCATATAGAAGTGTTTTGATTAAACAAACAATGCTTAAAGCTTATTAATATTTTATTATTTAATTTATTTTATGATAAAAATAATATCTAATTAATGTGACGTGATATTATATCATATGACGTCATCTCATACAAACTCATATCACGTGATGGCATATATATGGTAAGAGTAGTGCTCTTTATTATATGTGATCTGATACGATAATATGACTAGTGACGCTAAAGCTATGATTTTGTTCACAAAAATGTTTCATCAATATATTGCCCATCCTTACGAGACTAGCACTCAAAATATTTTAGTCGTTTGGATTAACATTGCGTGATCATTATGATATAATATCGTAAGGTGTTAATGTACAACACGAGATAATGACGACCAAAGCATCGTGCTTGAAGTGATTTTTAGGATCTCAAGAATGTTATAATATGATATTGCGTTTGTATAAAAACATATATAATATATTTTTTGTTTAACGTAAAAATCACATCTTTTTGTGTGATGTGACCCGATAATTGTTATGTGATATTTTCGATCAAAAGCAGTAAAGATATTTTCGATCAAATGCTTCAGGCTTCAGCAACTCTCTACAATTAACGATCTAATTTCAGCGTTTCAAAAATTATTTCTCTAAATATTTTTTATACCGATAGTAGGATAAGAAATATTCACTTATGGAATGCACCCAATAATACATGAAATACCTTGGTAAAATTGTGCAGAAATTCCAGAAAAATTTTTTGAACTACTTCTATATTTAACGGAGTATATTGATACGGCTTATTTATTTATAATATTTTTTTCAATCTATATTAATTTCAATTTTACCACACAGCATGCCTAGAAGCGCATCTACCATTTGGTTTTGTTACATTTGGTGTGGTGGCAAAGCCCAATGAATTTCCCTATATGGTAAGGTAAATAAAAAAAATAAGAATTAAAAAAAAAAAAAAATTATCTTCCGCAACAGGCAGCACTAGGTTGGAGGGTCCGAAATGAGGATGGCCCGAGAGTATAGCATATAAGTGCGGTGGCACTTTGATCAGCAGCAGATATTTATTAACAGCGGCACATTGTTTCTATCACTCAAGGTTGACTGTAGCTATGAGAATGTTTTACAGATTTTTAAATCATAATTTATTTATTTTCCGTAGTGATCCACCAGTTGTGGTACGTCCAGGTGGTTACGATTTGAATATTACCACGGTGACTGATTATGAAATCGACCAGATAATTGAACATCCAAAATATGAATATCCAAGTTTATACAATGATATTGCTATAGTGCGCATGGCGAAAAAATATTTGTAAGATTTCCAGTAACACAAAGGAAAAAATTTTAATAATTAAGTCTACAGGGAATTTTTGGAAATATACATACTCCGCCTAAAACTATGAAATAAGAACTCAATTCTTAGCGCGCAATGAAAGAAAGTATACGATTTTGTTGAAGCGAACATTATATATCAGGTGTACAACTTTGCTTCCACCGTTTTTTTCCAAAATTAAAAGCTTTATTGCGAAAAAGTGCTTGCAGATATATTATTCAAAGTATTGTCCTTCACTAGCGACAACTTTCTCCCATCTTTCTGGCAATTTTCGGATCCCGGCTTGAATTATGCACATTTCGAGCGTGAATAATACGAAAACAAGAACAACTGTCACTGAAACGGCGATAACAATTCGTTAAGCACTGCCCACACTCACTTTAAAGGCATTATCATCTATGTATTTCAACCAGCCTCAGCCGGTACAGCCACCTATCGGAAAACGGCGGAAGCAAAGTTGTACACCTGATATTATAGGCACAGTATTTCTGAATTAGTGACCCTGACAGTTTGTGATATCTTTCAAAATTGAGCTATAAACATTACAAATTTTATATATTTTTTTCTGTAGTAGCATCACACCGATTGTTGGTACAGCTTGCGTCTGGTATGGCCCGGTGGATGAGCAACAAGTTACAGCAATTGGTTACGGTGATACACAATTTGGTAAGATTTTTGGCGAACTTCGCGTAATTTTAGATATTTAAAAAATTTTTATTAATTTAATTTACAAAATATTCAAATTTATAATACTTTTCCTAAAGCTGGCACCTCTTCGCCGCTCCTAATGAAAACTATTTTGTCTACAATTTCAAACGATGAATGTAATGAACATTACGAGCAAGATGATGTATTGAACTCTGGTGTAATTGCAACACAATTATGTGCAAAAGATTATGAGAAGCTGCGCGATACTTGTCAGGTTTGTGATTTCTATTTTATTGTGTAAATTAAACCAATATGACAGCTAAATTGTGTTCAGACATATGCTTGATTGATACACAATTTACTATACTAAAATTAAATTGGGCGTAAAATTGTAAAAATTAATTATAATAATATTATTTAAGCTGTAAAAATGAGAAAGGAAAGCATACGCTCCTCAATGAAAAATTAGTCGAAATAGTAAACAAACAGAAAAATATTAAAAATTTAATAGAGAAAAAAAATTACAAAGACAAAGACACTAAAATATTATTAATTTATATACTATTTATTTTTTAATTTATAAACCAACTAAATTATTGTAAGCAGTAACCGCATGAGCTGAATTGACTGTGTTTAAACTCAATTTAATCTCTGCTAATTTAATTGAACCAAGATTATGATTTTCCTTTTCAATACTACAGGGTGACTCTGGCGGTCCGTTAATAATGTATGATACACTAGATGGCTATGAAACAATTGCCTACGTAGTGGGCATAACCTCATTCGGAATTGGTTGTGGTACTGGCACACCAGGAATTTATACACGTATTTCGGAATATTTTGATTGGATTGAGGAAACAATTTTTAAATAAATGAAATAAAATTATAGTCACAAAAAAAATAAATAAATATGTGTTATATATGTTTTTCTGAAAAAAAATTAATTTCATATTAGCATTAGCAGTTATTAAGCCACGACCCTGGAAAAGAAGAAACCAGTTGTAATAGGCGTAGATACCTGCCAACTAACATAACAGAATTACACTGAGAGAAATTGAACTTAAATTTGAAACATTAAATTGGTCTACACAATTTCACAAAGCAAAAACTCACAGAGAACGGTTTCTTTAAAACTGTATAAACACATTGGATTTAAAGGTCCTCATTTACCCCTTGAGAAAGTTCTCTCGCCTTTGACTTTTATCTGCGAATTTTCTTAACAGTGTTATCCGCAACAGCAGCAACAGGTGCATTTGGTGTGTTCATTCTAGGAAAAAATGCTTGGAAAGCCCGAATCGCCGCACTCAGTTTGCAATAAGTGGGAAAATAGAACAAGTTTAGTCGTCCTTGCGCGCAGTTGCTTGCCGCCAGCCATAGAGTAAAGTTTGAAATACGCTAATGCGAAGAAGATGTCATCAACTAAGCGTCTGCTATCAATTTGTATACAATTTTGGGTGAAAAGTAATTAATCAATGTATTATTTAATAGAAAACAATAATTTTATTTACTTTTAATTACTTTCCCTTTAGTAATTTTCTTCGCCGCTGTATTGGCCTGCTTTGAAGATCAAATATGTTTAACAACACGAAACCGGCTTGGCTACTATGAAACACGATCGAGTTATTTAAAAATGTTAAGGAAACAGCAAAATTTATGTTTGGGTGTGTGTAGTCATAATCAGACAGTAAAATATATATGCTGCGGTAGGCAAGATGTGCCGGCTGAAAGAAGAATATCGGAAGAGCGTGAGTCACTTTATTCGCATTTGTATGCAATATATATATATATATATACAATATATATAATTTCATACTTTTCACACTTTACCACAGAATGTCTTCGAAACCATCGTAATAACGGTGGAAATATATTAATAACAAATGGTATGGTAGCGCGACGTAATGAATTTCCATTTATGGTATGTATGTGTGTATGTAACTTCTGGTTACAACTGCTTAGAAATTTATTACGAAAAACAATATTTTCGAAAAAAAATTTTTAAAATCACATAAAAATGTAGTTAGGCTTGCAAAAGAAAAATAAGTTCGAAAACTTTTAAAAATTGAGAAAGTACGCAAAGATTCGGTTGAAAAAGTTTAAAATTTGCAAAGTATTATGTTTTCAAAAATCTTCGTTCGAATATATTCCAAGAAATACTGGGTTTGAAAACATTTAAAACACGGTATAAATGAAAAAAATTGGTTTAGAAAGGTATGATTGTCATACAAAAATAATTTTCAAATATGTACAAGTTTAAAAAAAATAAAAATAGAGTAAAAATTCGAAATATTTTATTCGAAAAAGTAGAAATTTGCAAAAATTTATTCGAAAACGTTGACATTCGAAACAATTCATTCAAAAAGTTTGAAAATCGAAAATTAGAAATTCAAAAAATTTTATTCGAAAAAGTTGAAATTCGAAAAGTTGAAATTAAAGAAATTTATATGAAATAGTTGATATTCGAAAAAGTTGAAATTCGAAAAACTGTATTCGTAAAAGTTTAAATTTAAAAAAGTTGAAACTTGCAAAATAGTAATTTGAAAAACAGGAATTCGAAAGACCTAAATTCGAAAATAGGAACGAGAAAAATTTAGTAAGAAAATATATAAATGCGAAAATCTTAACGAGTAAAGCCAAACATATTGAATAACTAAAAAATTAACAAAACAAATTAATTTTACTTATATAATGTAAATAATAATAATGATAAAATAAATAAGTCCGAATTTCTTTTAAAATCGAAGGGCAATGAAAAACAAGAGTTAAAAGGTATTGAAATTCGAAAAAAGAACAATTTAAAAATGTATAATCGAAAAAGTTTCAAGGAATATAGAAATAAAAAATTCGAAAATATTTGAGAATCGATAAAATAATCAGATTAGTACCTTTCTTCGTCTTGCTTTGATGCATTTTATCCACAGGCAGCCATTGGCTGGCGAGCTTTATTTGGCCGCAATACCATTAGCTATGGATGTGGTGGCGCTCTGATCTCAAGTAGACATGTACTAACAGCTGCGCATTGTCTATATCATTCCAAGTGAGTCGTTGAACTGATAAATTATTAATAATTAATATTTTCAAAAAACCACATATATTATATACATGTATATACGAGAACAATGTTCCATATTTCAGTGAAAAACCAATTGTCGTACGGCCTGGCGGTTATGATCTTGATGATAAGGAAGCCAAGGACATTGACATCGAAAGAATCTACGAACATCCAGGATATAATCATCCAGATTCATATAACGATATAGCTATTATACTCCTAAAGGAGCCGTATAAGTGAGTAGATAGAGAGAAAGAACAAATGAAAAAAGAAAAATTTTAAATAAAAAAAATTTCCTTTAACGTAATTAGTCCTGATAATGTCGAGAATGCAGAGCCAGCTTGCGTTTGGGCACAACCTTTGTATCGGGCAAATGTTACAGCCATCGGTTATGGGAATACCAAATTTGGTGAGTTGATAAATATAAAAAAATATAATCAAATCCCTAACTCTGCCTGGCTATCTTATACGCAGCTGGATTATCATCACCCAATTTAATGAAGGCCGAACTCAAAACCATCCCAAATCAAGAGTGCGCAAAATATTATGAACAAGATAATATAATTTACTCCCAGTTATGCGCTAATGATCCTGTGAGAAAGGGCGATACCTGTCAGGTGAGTTGTTCGTTTTGCTCCATATTTTCTATATTATATTTAACAAATGAAAAGAAAATATTACTTTAAAAATTCTTAATAAATAAATTTCATAATAATCAATTTTCACAGGGTGATTCTGGCGGACCAATCATAATGTACCGTGATATTGGTAATTTCTATCATACCCTACCATATGTTGTTGGTATAACCTCGTACGGCATTGGCTGTGGCACGGGTACACCAGGAGTTTATACACGTGTCGCTAGTTATATAGATTGGATTGAGAAGATTATCTTCTAATAACTTTAAGGCTTGAAAGTTTAAATTTTTTAATATGCTTAAAATATATATTTTTTTTTTTCAATAAAGAAAACAGAAAATAAATGCATAGTTCGATCTTTAAGATTATTCCAGAATGATTGCATTAAATTTAAGCTCCTAAAATATTTATGTCTTTATTAAGCCTGAATGTAGGCAATGTTTTACAAAAAAAATTATTGTCTAAATAAAAAAAAAACGCTACCTACATTTAGGAGCTGTTTCATTAAATGACACATTGAAAACATAAATCATTTTTACTGGCGAAAAGCGCTATTTCAACTTTCTATTCAGAGCGATTTTTGTGTCAACGTGACCTTGGGGCTTAGCATTAATATATTCCAGAATAATATATAAATATTATACATATGCATATATATAATTAGCACTTTGTAACCGCTGAAGTGGTTTTCGGCCGAGCTCCTCCTCCAATTTGTGGTTTTCCGTGGTGATGTTTTTCCAACAAATGGAGGAACATGCAGTTTATACTAAGCTGCTTCCAAACGGTTGATGATTTTATCAGGAGGAGCCTTCAATTCGAGTCAGAAATACATTTCCTGCTGAAGAATAGTTATTTATATATTTTCTGTCTCGGAAAATATTTCCACCTCTGCTTTTGTTTTTCCTTCTGAACGCGCTAAGATGTGTTTGTATGTTTGAATGTATGTGCCAAAGCAGTAATTTTACGTCAGCAGCCAATTCACTGAAATTCTTGGAAAGTGCATTCACTTTGTGCATTGATTCAGAACAAGTTTAGTCGTCCTCGCGATCAGTTGTTTGCATGAATTTAATGAATTTTGCTAAGCTTGCTTGCCTTTTAGCTACATACTTTGTGTCCATAGGTAAGTGTTAAATTCAACTTTTTTTAGCATTTTTAGTATTTTTATTGAACTACTTGCTTAGTAATTGATACTTATTATTATTGTTTTATATTAGTAATCAGCTGCTATCAATATCAATCCTGTCTAACTCCACGCAACCGGTTTGGCCGCTATGTAACCACAATCGCTTATCTATCTATGACCGAGGATTTACAGAATATATGCGCAGGCGTATGTAAATACAATGAAACAACGGAATACATATGTTGTGCCCATTTTGATAAGCCAGCAGAGAAGAGAATATCGCAACATCGTAAGTAAAAAAAATGCAAATGAGTGCATATACATACTATGTACAATACATAATCGTATATATGTATATGAAATAGTTATCCTGTGTATTAATGAATTAATTTTGAATCTTTCGCCATAACCTAAAACAGAATGTGAGGCAGATCACAGCATGTATGGTGTTATCATTCATGGTACTCAAGCGAAACGGAATGAATTTCCATTTATGGTAAGAAAATAAATACAAAGTAGAATTTTTTTTTTTCAAAATTATAAACTCCTCATAGACTAAATATTTAATTTTTTTCCTTTCCTATATTAAAAAAAATATATTACCTATTTGGAATAATTATTGTTTTTTGGCTTACAGGCAGCTATCGGCTGGCGTGCTTTATTTGGCACTAATAAGATTTCATATAAATGTGGTGGCGTACTGATCAGTCGTAAATATGTGTTAACAGCAGCGCATTGTCTGTACCACTCCGAGTAAGTGCATAACCACATATTTTATATAAAAAATAATAAATAAATAAATTGAGCGACTTCAAACGAACACTTTATTAATTAAAAAAAAAATTTTTAACATTTTGGGTTTTAAAATTTTTATGGGCTTTGTTTATGTCTTATGATTTTTTTTTTATTTATAAATAGTATTTTATAACTTCCTAATAACAGCCTATTGAATATATGCAATAATATATAATATTTTACATAAAAATCTTTGACTGAATAATTCATTTTTTTCTACCATTTTTATATCCGCAACTTTCAGTGAACCACCAATTGTGGTGCGTCCCGGCGGTTTCGACTTGAATGATACGGAGGCGGAGGATATTGAAATCGATCAAATTTTCGAACATCCAGGCTATAAACATCCAAGTGTTTACAATGACATAGCAATTTTAGGGTTGAAGGATGAATATTAGTAAGTTTAGAAGCATATACGAGTATGTATGTTAATGAACATAGTCGAATTTACATTATATTATTATATTTTATTTTCTTAATGTTAATTCATATATTTCATTTAATTAATTTAAGTTTTTTAGTTTTATTTCCATTTATTTTATTTTATTGTTTTCTAACTTATAATATATGACTTCATTTGATTTCATTCTTTAATTTATTTTACTTTATCTCTTTTTATTGTATTTTTTTCATTACATTTTATTTATTTTATTTAATTAATTAATTAATTTTATTGTATTTCATTTTAATTAATTTCACTTATTTTATTTTGTTTTTTTTTTTTTCATTTTAATTCATTTTATTTTCCTTTGATTTATTTTAGTTTTTATCATTTTATTTTATTTCATTTTGTTTAATTACACTTGCTTTATTTTGTTTTACTTTTTTATTCAAATTTCTTGCACTTTATTTTACTTTATCTTATTTTATTTTATTTTTTATATTATATTTTATTTTATTTCATTTCATTTAATTTTTTATATTTTATTTTAATTTATTTTATTTTATTTATTTCACTTTTATTTATTTTTTTACTTTCTTTTTTTAAATTTAATTTAATTTTATTTAATTTACCTTATTTTATTGTATTTTATTTTATTTTACTTTATATTATTTTATTTTATTTTATTTTATTTTATTTTATTTTATTTTATTTTATTTTATTTCATTTTATTTCAATTTATTTTATTTTATTTTAATTTATTTTATTTTATTTAATTTCACTTTATTTTATTGTATTTTTTTTTCTTTTACTTTACTTTATTTTATTTTATTTTACTTTCTTTTATTTTATTTTATTTTTTATTTTTCTTATCTTTTATATTTTATTTTGTTTTATTTTATTTCATTTCATGTCATTTCATTTCACTTTATATTATTTCATTTTTAATACATTTAATTTTTGCTTCGTTAAATTCAATTTTTTTTTCAGCGCCAAAAGTTTTGACAACACTGCTCCGGCATGTCCTTGGGCTCTACCATTGCACGCAGCAAATGTTACCGCTATTGGTTATGGTAATACGCAATTTGGTGAGGAGAAAATAACTATTTTACTATTTTTTAATACGACCTTCGTAGTGAAGTTTCTACTCCAAATAAAAAGAAAATAAATTGAATTTAAACTTACATTTAGAGGAGAAATTTGTTTACAGATTTGTTTCAGATAACCCATTTTAAAGCTTATTTTTTACACGCTTTTAGCTGGCTTATCATCGTCTGTTTTAATGAAGACTAACCTTACAATCGTATCCAATCGAGAATGTACTCAGTATTATGAAACAGATGGCATTATATACTCTCAAATATGCGCTAGCGACCCAGTGAGATTAAGCGACACTTGCCAGGTGAGCAAAATAAAATTTACCCCCAGCCAATTAATGAAGTAATTTATGGAAAAAAGGTTAAAAATATATATTTAATTGGAAATTGCATTGTTTTTTCTTATTTTTAGGGTGACTCTGGCGGTCCCCTTATACTGTACCGAAATCTCACTGAATATCATTACGAAGTGCCTTACGTAGTTGGTTTAACCTCATTTGGCATTGGTTGCGGTACGGGAACACCAGGTGTTTATACACGTGTAGCCAGCTACATAGATTGGATTGAGAAAATTGTCTATTTTTAAGAGAGAAAAATAAGATAAGGTAAAACTTGACTAGTATAACTAAGCATTACAACGCCTTAATGTAGGCAACCTTTTCAAAAGTATGATTTAGTTGATATAAATTTAGCTAAAATCGTTGCCTACAGAACTAGGCTCACACAACTCTTCACACAGTCGCTTGAATAAAACGTTTTCGTAACCTAAATAAATAAGTTATATTTTACCAAGAAAAAATTACTGCTACAACATTAACATATATGTATAAATGTATATATACATAAGTATGTAGCAAACTATATTAATAAAAATTATATAAAATAAAATATTCACTTTACATTTATTTCTTTCCACGCTTGCATAAACATTAAATTTCCTTTGCAGTTATTTAGCATTTTTATTTGGCTGTTAAAGGTTCGTTAAATTTGAAATTTCCGCATAAAATGACGCGACACGTTTTATGCAGTCACCAAATTGCTTAGTGTGATGTCACCGCAAAAACAGCTTGGGGCACAGATGCATCCTCCATACGTTATGTAGTTCCAAATACCTAATGTTTGATGGCGTAACAAAGGTCAAATGTTATTACAAAGCTTGTGACGCCTGCGCGTTTGCACAGCTAGTATGTCACCGAATCGCTTACGTACATATACATATACATATGAATGTAAATATGTAATATTGGTCTTAGCAAAATTTTTACTCGAGGCAATAATCACCGTTGAATTATTAAAATAAACCAAATTAGAAAAAGAAAAAACACTCACAAACTAATCAATAAATATGTTCGTATGTAAGTGCTTGTTCGGAGAAAAATATGTATCAGCTATAACTTTGCAGCATCCAGGCTCGTGTTTCACTTCTGATAAGATGCATTATGGCGCCGCAAAACAGAAACACTTTCGCTGTTAGTGTTGTTATTGTTATTGCTATTGTGGCTTTTGCAGACTAACTTATAGCATGGAATTAACATAATCGTGATACTCTAGGCACGGCGCGTCTATAAAGTAAAATAATTTAAAATTGAAAGCGAAAATCACATATGAGCATGCCAATAGACATACATACAAACATATGTGTGTACATATGTACAAACAAAGTCACACACATGTGCTACAAATGTGGGCTTGGGCAGGAGGAGCCATATAGAAAGCCGACTCTTATACTCGACATATGAACATCCATGTGTGCTGTAGATGTGCTTCGTGTTTACGGTTGAATGAACAAATAAATAGCAAATTTTGCTAGCCTTAGGTCATGAATACAAACATATGCATGAATTTTCTTTGCCTAAATTCAATCGTTTGCGAAAAAAACATTTCGTGCACCAAAATTTGTTGCCAGTATTTTTTTGTTTTTCAACCAAATTGCTATTTTTATACTTTTTTCTTGTATTAACAGTAATGAAAATGCTTTGATTTGGTTTTTATAAAATTTTTTTGGTTTTGTATATATTTCTTGTATGTTCTAAATAAATAAGAAATTATATTAGTTTAGTTGGTTTCCTCATTTCTCATTTTTTTATGTATATTTATTGCCGCTAAGCTTAAGAGTGTGTATGTAGTTGGTTGCTGCTTTCATTTCTTTACTTGACCAGCCAATTGTTGAGTTGAAAAATAAAATTTTAAGTGACGTGAGTGCTTATACTCCAGCCGTTTTACATTAAATAATAAGCATTGTGCTTGAAGTAGGTATTTATAGAAATGAAAAGCGAAATTTTTGTTTTTATTAATCAATTACGATAAAAAAAAAGTCTCACAAACTGCAGATATCGGCTTTTTTTGACATTAAAATAATAAAAAAAACTGCTTAAATTGGTAGCACAACAGGTCGTAGTTCTCTGGTATTGAACACTATTTATCTTCTCAAGACTTTTCGCGATGAAGTTCGCTTGAAATTGAGCGCGACATACATGCGAAATATTTAAAATTGATATATATATATTTAAAGATTTCACAAACTGTATCATACAAAAAAATTTACTGCGGATTTTCACACTTTAAACTCCTCTCTATGCACAATAAATTTCTAATGCAAGCTTAAAACTTTACAAAAATTTTCACATACAATAAAATTGTTCGACTTTCTATACTAAATAAATCTTAACAAAATGAAGAGTAGCATTGTACAGTTGGTGTGTTGTTGGTGAGCAAAAAGATGTTTTTTTTAATAATAAACATTCTAATATAATCGTTAATACCTTTTACCAATAAAATATATATAGAAGCCATTAGTAAAATATTTAGCATTTTAAATAAAATTGTAATTAGCAAATTATTCGGATACAGGATTTTTTTCTTTTTTGAAAATTTAAAAATTAGAATTTTTACTTTTTTATGTTTTTTTATGTTTCTTTTTTTTGGTTTATGATGTTGTAAATATATATATTTATTGTGTGTTTATATAATTACGATATTTCTCTAGCTGTCATTGGTTGTCGAATATACAGTCGGTTTTAATGAAGTATTAACAAACATAATTATTTCCTTCCCTTTCGCTTAGCAAATAGCAACATATCAAAGCATATTGTACATCATATTTGTAATATTATTTAGTTTTAGTTATAATTTCATACATACGCATGTAGTTTTGTATATATAAAAATAATTTGCGTTATATGTATATTTATCGCTTTAAAAACAAAATTACAAGAAAATAATTACAACGATTAAAATATTTAAACAATTACAAATTTCTATTGCATTGGAAATTAGAAAAATATTTAGCTTTAATTTACAAGTTCTTTTTATAGCATTCCGTACAGCTTAATTTCTTAGGCTCATATATTTCAATGTATGTATGTGTGTGTGTATAGTGTGTAAGAAGTTCTATTATATTTTATTGATCTGCTGCTTGTGCAACAAACCGGTGATGAGAGCGTGTAGTCGATAACTTTCCAATTTTAATTTATGTTACTTTGGAAAAAAACAGCTTTTCTTTTCACTAGTTTTGCTTTCACAAATGCAGGAACACGAATTTAATATTTTTTTTTTTACACACACTCTCATCACTTTAGTTGCCTACACTTTTAATTTCCTATATTTTTCCCCTTCTCTCGCTCAATAGCAACCAGCTTTTCCAACATTTATTACAATTATAATACTTATATTAAATTTATACTCTTTTTAATTATATTTTCTTTTAATTTTTTTATTTTTTTATTTGTTTTTTTTTGTTTATGCGTAAATGTGTATATATAAAAAAAAGAATTGTTTATTTCTCTAACTGAGTAGCGCTCGCTGTTTTAAAACCCGCCCATATATAAATTTTCGCATATTCTTAAAAAAAAAAGATTAGTTTACGATAAGAATGGATTCGAGGATGATGCTGCTTCCGGATTCATCCAAGGCATATTATTGTTGTTCTGAAATAGAGATGTGGTTGGATTTACTTATTTTTCATAAAAATAAAAATCGCAAGCTACAGTATTTATATATATTAAAATAAATTAAAATTAAAATTAAATAAGAAAATAAAAATTTAAATGTAATAAAAAATTAGAAATTAAAATTAATTAAAAATTAAAAATTAAAATTTAATAAAAAAAAAATTAAAATTAAAATTTCTTAAAATATATAAAAATAAAAATTTAATAAAAAAATAATAATAAAAATAAAAATTTAATAAAAAAAAATAATAAAAATAAAAATTTAATAAACAACGAACAAAGGCCAAAATTCCATACACAAACTAACAATTTTAAATAAATATTATACAATTGCTGGTGTTTGTGGAAATGTCCGCTACATATAACTGTGTACCAATATATATAATATCATAAAAATGCTACAAATAAACGGTAGTAATAATATTCAGGGTTAGTAGCGCGCCGCAAGAGCCAAGCAAATGTTCGTTATTTCTTATTTATTTAATTTTTTTTACATTATTAGTTTTGTTGCAAGAATTATTTCAAGTTATTTACATGCAACTAAATTAGTCTAACAACTATGGCAATTTGTTATGTTAAAAATTCGAGTACAGATTATAAGAAAAAAATCGAAATAAATAGCTTTTGATATGAGTTCCCACTGTTTTTTAGATTATACTTTTTTCAATTTTAGCTCTTAAATTTGTTATAATAATAATTTCGATTTTTCGTACTATTTTTTTAGATATATAATTTAAATTTCCAAAAAAACTTATATGTTAAAATGGAATAAGCAGCTCTGATATTTTGCTGTTTATTTGTTAATTTTTTTTTTCAAAATATATTTTTTTCACTTTTTCTCTTAGTAATATTTTTACTTTTTTTCTAATTAATACTTATTTTTGTTAATTTAATAATTTATATATGTACGTACATAAAGGTTTAATTTCAACTTTTTCACCGCTATTTATTTATTTATACTTTATAATCTGTACTCTAGGTGTGGCATGCTATTATTACATTTTCTGGAAAGCATTTATTAAGTTTACCCATTGTTTTTTATTTAAGCGTCCAAGCCTCCATTGATGGCTATAAGATACAAAATTTTGATATATTATGTGACAAAAATATGTATGTATGTATGCATGTTAAGCAAGTTTTTTTTTTTTTTTTCAAAATAGGCAAACAGCAAAAAGGAGTATAGAAGAAAAAGGGATTGGGAGATAGGTTGAGAGATAGTAGCTCAAGTTAAAACTTATTTTTTTAGGTTCCAAATTGTCAACGATTACGAAGGGAATTAAACTTAAATTTTGTATAAATAAATTGTTTTCCTTAGATTCGGGGTGTTTAACTAAAAATTAATTTTAATAAAGAACTATATGTATTTACAAGGAGACCCAAGATGCCCACAATCAGCCCACCAGTGCTGCACGGCGTTTTACTTAGCCTGGTGACAAAAGCCAAATTACTAGAAGTCATCATAGATACGAAACTAAACTGGAAAGATAATAGTATCCAAAGATACGTGACGGCTGTTACTGCCGTCTATACATGCAAAAAAAGAAAAACAATAGTGATCTAAGGCTCAGTATTTGCCGACGGATCTACGTTTCAGTAGTAAGGCCAATGCTCCTTGCGGTGGTGTGGTGCCCAGCCACAAATAAGGCTTCAAATGCTAATTATAATTAATAGATAGAACAGATTCAAAGATGTGCGTTGCGATGTGCGGAGGTGCACTAAGTAATACGCAAAGTGAGGCTCCCAATGTGGTATTTCAGTTAGCAGTAATGACTGCACTTCGTCTAAGAGAAGTTATAAAGATCAATGCGGTCAAATTACTGATAACTACTTCAGAACACGGATTCCCAATAACCCTGGTTCGAAGGAACAGCAGGGAAATATACAGGAGAGGATCAAAGCTTTGAGGAAAGGTTGGCAGAGGTGTCTTCACAGCGAGCCCTTCGGTGGAACAATCTTTCAGTGTGCCTGACCAATGCAGTGTTTTTCAGGCGGTGATATCTGCTATCATGCAGGCAGCAAAGCAAATCGAATCAAGCTTCAAAGATAAGAATATTTTCATTTTCAGCAACAGTTAAGTAGCAACAAAAGCACACTTGGCCCTTTCGAAAATTCTGTAGAAGCTGCAAGGAGGATGAGGAAGAGGAAACGATCACTCATCTCCTGCTTTGAGTAGAGTTAGGTTTCCAAATTTTGGAACCCTACTGACCTATCGAAGCCGACGTCAAAGTCATAAATTAATGAGATCATTGGAGAAGCAAAATTGCTCGATAATGAAGCCTGATTGCCAAGTCTTTTGCTGGCATCAGAATGGGTCCTAGTCAGGCCGAAGTGAATCCGACATGATAGGTCGGTAGCCAACCAAACCTAACCTAACCTATGGTTTAAGGATGGAATTCGGAAGGTTATTCGCATACTTGCATACTTATAGGCGCGTTTTTTTTTTTTTTTGTTTGAAGAATTTGTATTGAAGGAGTAGGGAGAATTTAAGCAAAGTTTGTATGAACTAAGTGATAGAACATGAATTACCAAATACGAACAAAGTAATTCGATATTTTAAAAACATTATACACCGTATAAATAAATTCTTTCTTTCCCACAAATCTTAAGTCTAATAAGACTTATTATGCTCTTTCATAAATTATTTTCAACGAAAACACAAAACATTAAAAAAAATAGCAGAACTAAGAGAACAAGTAAACAAAAAAATTATAGCAATACAACAACAAAAATTCATAACGATTGTAAATTTAACTAAACCAACTTACAAACATAAAAAAAAAACTTTAAAATAAATCAAATACAAAGTTTAGAAAGCATAAATTAATTCAATTCAAGTCAATTTCAAAACGCATTAGCCAACTTAGCGAGCACAACAACTTTGCATTTATAACGGTTCTGCAACGCTAGCATCCAGAGCGGTTTTTTTTTCTCTTAACATACACTCACTTCCAGCTTACAGTTGCCCATCAACGAAGAAGATGTGGAAAATAGTGCATTATTATGACTAACGGTATTACTAAAGTTGTTCATATTGTTGCTATTATTGTTGTTACTCAATATAGACGGATTTGCCTCATAAAAACCGTAATTGAATAATGAGCCACCACCACCACTTTCGAAACCACTGCCAATGACATTTCCAACGGTTGATGCGCCATAATTAAATGGCATTGTTGTTGTTGCGGGCATTGGCAATTGTACAGGCGCTATTTTAATACCAGGCGTATCAGCTAAAGCAGCTGTTAGCGCATTACTATAACTTGACGTCAGTGGCACTGTTGGATATTTTGCAACTGGCTGCTGAGTTGAGGTTAGGTCGTAAGAGTAGTTCGAGAGTTGGTTATTATTGTTGCTACTATTGTTGGTATTGGTAAATTTGTTGTTAAAGTTACTATTAAAAGTGCTGCTGGCGCTAGTGAAGGCATTGCTATTGTTAATGAAAGTATTGTTGAACGTTTCATTGCCATTGTTGTTTGAAGTTCTGTTGCTATTATTGAAAGTATTGTTGAATGTTTCAAAATCTTCTTTAGCTTCATTGCCAAAATCAGTAAATGGTTGAAATTGATTAATGGGTGGTGGCGGTGCAAGTGGTGGCTGTAGGCTTAGAGGATTGCTGTTGTTGGTGGTAGTCCTGAAGACACCGCTATGAGCAGTATTCGCCACCGGTTGATGTAATGTTGTTGTAGATGCGCTATCAAAGAGTTCTGCATCACTATCACTGGCAATTTGCATATTTCTTATATTATCAACACTTTGACTATGAATTTGTACTTGTGTTTGGAATTGATGTGGTCCATCGTGTTGGCTTCTATAAGCATTGCCATTCTTATTGTTATTATTATTACTATTGTTGTATGTGAAGAAGTCAGTGGTTGTTGAAAACGCTTTTGGGTTGAAAACGTCATAATCACTTTTTGAATATTGCAAAGTTGGTTTTATATTACTGTTACCGCTGCTGCTGACTTGTTTGTTATTTAAAAAATTATTGTGAAAATTATCGTTGCTATGGATACTAGCGAAATCATCGCTATCGTCGTAATCATTAAATAAGTTTCTGGTGAGCTTAGTTTTGAAAGAAAGGAAATTAATAAATGTTGCGTTGACGTTTTTATTTTTTATTTTGTTTTTATTTTTTATTTTGTTTTTTTTTTTATGTTTTATTTTGTTGCATGCGAAAGCATTATAGAAGAAGAAAAATAAAATTAAGAGAGATAAAATAATTTTAAAAATTTAAATAGAATAAAATTAAGTAGAAATAAGTATTTAAATGAAGTTTGAGTAAAGTTTGTAAAGCATATGCATTAGAAAATATTATTAAATATATGTATGTAAGTTTAAGTGGACCGGGTAACGTAGGGGAGAGTTGCAAATTTTGTTTAGATTCCCTAAAATACCTAAAAGGTATTTTATGCTATTGAGCAATAAATATCGTTAGCCTTATAGACCATGCACCAACAGTTTGCGTTGGCTTACATTGCATCATATGAAATTTTCCCAATTCTTACGAGTTTTTTGTTTCCATATATCGTATTCAATTTATTATGGATTTAGATTTCTTTGAAAGCTTAAAACGCAAATCTTTACGTACCTGAGACGTGTTCGTGGAATTAGTGACCGGCGCCCAAGGATCTTGATTCATAGTCATAGCGAAAGGCTGTTGCTGCTTTAACTGATTAATGGACGGCACCTTTAAATAAAAAATCCACATTTCATTTAATAAAATTAAAAGATATATATTTTCTAAATGTTGAATATTTGGCAAGTCTCGTTATTTTTAATATAAGAAATGACCCGCTTGCAACTCACCGCAGGCTGTTGTTGTTGGAATAAATTTGTTTTTGGTGGTATAACAGTATCGCTAAATGGATTGTAGGCAGCGTTGCCAGCTTGTGATTGCGTTTGCACGGGTTTAATTAGATTATCCAAGTTAACTAATGACGAATTTTCACCTAAGAACGATTGTGGTGTTTTCATTTGTTTGCTCGTATTCGTTGATGTTGTTGTTGCATTGAGCGTAGAATTCGTTGCAGATAAAGGATCCATTTCATCGAGTAGTGATGCTGTGAAAATGGACAAAGTATGAATTTCTAAATTTCACAAATCGAATCCAAATATTTCATATGTTTTTTTACCGTTATTATTATTAAAAGCACTTGTCAAGTTGTTAGTTAATAAATCGCCAGTCTTATTCCGATTGGTTATTATATCGAATTCATCCATGTCAGGTGAAGGCTTCTGGAACGAAGTTATCAATAATTAGCAATAAAACACTAATATCGATTAATTAGTAAAAATTATTAAATTTTTACCTTCACTGAACTCATTCCAGTATTTTTCCATGGGTCATCATTAGCCGCCGCACCTGCCTTGGGCGCCCATGGATCAACCGTGGGCGCTGCAGCTAGCGGCGCCAACGACACTGGTTTAATACTAGTCTCAGTTAGCCATGGATCCGCTGGCTCCACTTTTTCAGCTGCAGCTGCTGCTGCGCCACCAAGAGCATTACCCTTGGACAGCCAGGGATCTAAGCCACCAATTGCACCGGCACCAACGGAATTGCCATTTAAAATCACTGCACCACCCACAGCACCAGCACCAGCACCACCACCACCATTGCTATGCAGCCAACCTTCAGTCGATGAGCCCGAGGCTACGGACGGCGATTGTGTGCGTGTGAGAGCCCAAGCATCACCACCGTTACTGCCAATACCGCCAACGGCGCCGAGTGGCACTGATGCATTGGCCGCACGCATGGACGCCGCCGGTTGCCATGGATCAATTTGTGGCGATGAAGTACCCGACCAAGGATCGGAGAGCTGAAAATGTGAGAAATATTAAGATTTGGAGTGTTAAACTAAATTATTTTGCAAATTACCTGACTAGCAGCACGTGCCGGGGTGCCCCAGGGATCGCCAGTGCCACCCATGGCACCTAATGGTGGACTCGAAATGCTAGTGGCGCCAAGAGAAATGTCCAACAAATCCAACAGATGCGATTGTGGCTCCTCCTTCTTAACCCCTGTCGGTTTTACAGTTTGATCTCTGTTAAAAGAAACATAATAAAAATATAACAACAATTTCATTAATATTATTAAACGTTCTAGAAATATCGCACTTGAAATCTTGTTCGCTTTGACTTAGCGCAAGTTGCAAGCGCACATCGTCGCTGCGTCGCTTCGCCTCCTCCTGCTCGGCCTCCTCACGCGACATAGCCATGGCCAATTGCAATTGCAGTTCCTCTTCACCCGCCGTTTGTGGCCGCACCATCTCCAGTTCGGATACCGGCTTCGGTTCTTCCTGCCAACCAGGCGGCATATCACGATGCGTCGGTCCATCAATGTAACCATCGCTACCAAAACCACTGGGATGTTGCGCAAAGCGTTCCTTCGCTTTCAGTGCTTTCACGCGTTCATTCTTCAGACGTTCATCGTCCTTCAGCAAGTTCACTAGCTGACTGGACTTTTCACGCACATGAGTACCCTGATCTTTGCCCTCTTCAAAATACGAAAATTCACGCAACGTTTGAATGGCAAATATATTCTCTTTGCACTGTTGCGCCACCTTCTCTGTGCCGGTTTTTATCAAATAGTCAAGCAATAACAGCGCTTTGAAGACGTGACGCCAATTCTTGCCATGATCATTCAAACGCTTCCAAATCATTTGCATTATCTCCGAGAAGGCAACCACATTATAGGTGAGATCCGCTATTTCGGCCATTATCGTGGCCGATGGCCCCCAGGGATCGTTGGAGGTGGCCTCGCGTACTTTAACCTGAAGGTGAAAGTTGGTTAGAAGTTAGAAAGTACTTTCATTTATAATTTAAATCAGCGGCTGTTGGCTTACCTGCGCATCGGAATAGTTGTGCGCGAGATTTTTGATGTTACGACGTATACCAGCGACATTCACTTGCATGTCTTCCTTTTGTTTTCGCACTTCGGGGGGGGAGGGGAAAGAAAATTGATTAATTTGATGATATCGAAAAAAATAAAAAGTGAATTTTAGAATTTAAACTACAGTTTTAGAGTTTCTATTGAACTCTTTGCTGGTAAAACATGCAATTCGATTTATGTATTTTCCGAAAATCTTCAAATATAACATTTTTTAAATATAAAAATTGTTGTCTTGAACAAACAAGAATGCAAAGCTTTTTTGAAAAGGTTAAATAAATACAATAAAAAGTACCAAAATTTAATAAAGCGCATAAAAGTAGGCAACACAGCAGCGCATGCTAAGGATAGACGATTCGTTCCATTTTTTTTCCTTTTAGGAAAGCAGCCAATTTTGTAAATATGTAAATTAATTTTATTAACATTGCAATGCATTCCTGCTTTTTTTCATTTTTCTTTATTTTATGGAAAAGATACGATATGCAATTGTTATTACGAAAATAAAAAAATGAAAAGAAAGTCAATGAAATTTTAATATTTTTTAAACAGAATTATTGGAAACAAGAGTTGCGAAAAATGTTGTGTTAGAAAATGTAATGAAATAATTAATATAGAAAACTGTTTGTTAAAAACCCAAAAAATATAATAGATCAATTAATTTTAGTAACACAAAAAATTTTTTAAGCTTTTTTCAATGAAGTTTTCTTTCTTTTTTTAATGTAAAGATAATTTTTTTGGTTAAAGTAATTTTGGCACACAATTGGCACACGCTTTTCGGCTACAAAACCCCAGCCACACACGTGTAAAACAATTAAGTGATCCAGAACAAAATTAATTTTGTATAAAATAAACTAAAACGAAAACGAAAACATTCAAAAGAAAACCACAAAATGAAAGATACCAAAGTGAATTTTATTCCCAAAAATAATTGTTTTTAAATATAGTGAAAAATTTTCTTATGTTATAATTGCACCAAATTATTACAGAAAATTAATAATAAGAATATGAAAATGAAGAGTATGTGGATAAGACATAATAAAGAACATTTTTAAGGTGATATAAAGGATGCATATATATATCACAGATATTATTGAAAATTTCATGTATTTTCTATACTGCATAAATAAATTTTGCGATGGATATATATTCAAGATTTTTGATAATCTAACGCCTTTCTAAAGTCATATCGATTTTTCGGAGTTGTTTGTTTCTTGGAGTGACTCCGATCTTTCGGAATGATTCCGAATACCATCAAAATTATTTCGAAAACTTTTGGGTTGTTTCCGAATACTTTCGGAGTGATCCCGAATGCTTTCGGAGTGGTTCCGAATACTTTCGGAGTGATTCCGAATACTTTCGAAGTGATTCCGAATACTTTCGGAGTGATTCCGAATACTTTCGGAGTGATTCCGAATGCTTTCGAAGTGATTCCGAATACTTTCGGAGTGATTCCGAATACTTTCGGAGTGATTCCGAATACTTTCGGAGTGATTCCCGAATATTTCGACAGCACGCCCGCTTGAAAAAAAAAAAACTCTCAATTAGAACGCAAAAAAATTTTTCGGAGTAAGATTTCTTTGTCAATATTCAGAACAAATACGAAAACTTTCGAAACAAATAGTTTTTGTTTACATATTATGTACTAATTCCGATTTTTATCGACAGCAGCTTTAGTTAAAACGACAAATTTTAATAGGAACTTGGAAAATTTTTTATGGTGCGAGAATTAAATGCTATCGGCAATTTTCAGCACAAGCAAAGGAACTTTCGAAGTGTAATAGATTTTATCTATTTATTTATTAATAATTTCATTTTTTGTTCCTACCTTTTCTAATAAATTTATTTACTTTATTGTTACTTCGAGCATCAAATTAAAACTTTTTATGGCGTCTTAGTGCAAACTTGGGTTTAATTTTTTTTTTCAATTATTTTTATAACCTTGACCTCGAAAAAATTCCAAAATATGTAGTAAACACACAAAACAATGGCCCTGAGAAAGTAAAGGGTTATTGCACCGTTGGAAATCTAATCTCGAACCTCTGAGAGTTTAAAGAACCATAAATGAAGATAAAATGATACTAGTATAAACATATATGTCTATAAGTATGCTTATAAATGAAGCTTCGATAGACATTTAACGACAGAGAAATGAAGTGCACGAAATACTTGAAGAAAAATTAAGCTACCGAGATAAATGAATGAGAGTAAATATGTCAGAACGACTAGAATAATGAAACAATATCATAAGTATGGGAGTATGTTTGCTGCACAAATATGTGTGAGACGATTTAAATGCACAACAAAAATTTATATATATAAAAAATGACTTTTAATAAATTGCATTTCATTGCATTGATTGTGTGGTGAAAAAATGGGTTTATTTAGTAGATTGGAAGAAAAGAAACACATTCGATATTCGATAATGGTACAAACATACATTGATAGGCAATTTGAATATTGATTATAGTTAATTGTAATATATGTATGTAGAGTTGTAATAAGACTTACTTTTGATTGTTTTCGCTACGTTTAGTTTATTATTTGCTTTCTTTTATGGTACTTTTGCTTAAACTTTTATGGCTTTGCGTTTTTTGCGTAAAATGCTTAGTTTATTTTGTTGCAATTTTTGTTTTTGTAATATCTTTTCTTTATATTTTTTTTGTTTTGTTGAGTTGCAGGTTTTGTTTGGTTTTTTATTTTTTGTTTAAGATAGTGCTCCAAAGCAAGCTATGAGATACAAGATACAAGATAACAGAATCAAATAAAAAATACTATTCATATTTGTGTAAAACGACATTATTTATTGTATAGAAACATTTGTAAACAAAGGACACAAAGCGAACACATACTTGAGGAATTATGAGCGAGTTGTGTAAAATTATAGATAAAGAAATATTGCTTATGTTCTTAAAGGACTAAAAATTATATGGCATTGAATCTTAAAATTGCAAATAGCGAGAGAGGAAACAAATTCAAATAAAACAAATAAAATAAAACTAAATAAAAAAGAAAATAAATTAAATAGCATAAAATAAAATAAAAATAAATGAAATGAGATGAACTAAAATAAAAATAAAATCAAATAAAAATAGAATGAGAATAAGTTTAAAAATATTGAAATGAAATAAAATAAATTTAAATTAAATTAAAATTAAACAAGCAAAATAAAATAATTTCAAGGAAAATTAAAATAAAATAATACAAAAAATAAAATAAATTATATTAATTAGAAACAAATAAAAAAGAATCTATGAAATGAAATAAATAAAATAAAATAAAATAAAAACAAATAAAATTAGATTAACTAAAAAATAAAATAAATTTATTTGAATAGAATAAGATAAAAAAGAATAAATGAAAGGAAATGAATTAAAATGAAATAAAATCAAATAAAAATAGAATGAGAATAAATTTAAAAATATTGAAATGAAATAAAATAAATTTAAATTAAATTAAAATAAAACAAACAAAATAAAATAATTTCAAAAATAATACAAAAAATAAAATAAATTATATTAATTAGAAACAAATAAAAAAAGAATATATAGAATGAAATAAATAAAATAAAATAGAAAAAAAATGAAATAAATAAAATTAAAACTAAATAAAATAAAATAAAACAAAATAACGTGAAATAAAAAACAAAATAAATTAAATTAAATAGAATAAAATGAAAAAGAATAAATGAAATGAAATGAATTAAAATAAAATGAAATAAAATTAATTTAAATTGAATTAAATTAAAACAAACAAAATAAAATAAAATAATTTCCAATAAATTGAAATTATTTCCAATAAATTTAAATTATTTTAAATGAAATAAAAATGAAATGAATTAAAAAAATAAAAGAAGATCAAGTAAATAAAAATTAAATAAAAAATACTATCAAAAAAACTAAATTAAATTAAAATAAACCAAACAAAATATAAAAATATAAATAAAATAGAATACAAATTTCAAACCAAATAAATAAAAAAAATTAAATCACATTAAATGAAATAAACTAATGAAATAGAATAAAACTAAATTAACTCAAATAAAATAGAACAAGCAATTTAAATTCAAAATTCATGATGATTAACAATGTCATTTTGATTATCTTCTAAATCTTCTGAGACAAGCTATTATCGTTGCCTACAATTAGGCTGAAAAAAAAATATATGCTATCCTAGCTGAACATCATATTTCTTTCTTAAATAATATTTTGTTGAGTGAAACGAAATATAAAGGAGATTTATGAACAAATATTTTTTTTAATTCCTCCGAAAAATAGTCAGCGATTTTCCATGTTTTCATTGGCAGCTTAGGTATCGAGAACAAAAAATTAAACAAATTTGAAATTATTTTTCAAATAAAGTCAGAAAAACATAGTCTAATTAGAGCATATAAAAACGTCGTATTTCGCTGAGGACATACGACCGAATTGACTTATAACAAAAAATGTATCCATATGAGTTCTATCAACAATATTTTTTAAGAGAGAGTCACAATAGCACATTAAATATAGTCAAAAATATTTAAAAAAAAAAGACTGTATAAAAAGGACTGAAGTGATATGTAGCCTACATTTAGGCACCAATAAAATCTCCACCCTGGACACGCACCCATTACGAAGAGATCTAACTTTTCCCGAATATAAAGTAGAAGTGAAATTTTTGTTAAAATATCTGGTAACTGTAAATGCACAAAATATAGAGCCACCCATATTTAGAATCATTATTTATGCTATTTTTCGCTGCAAGAGTACTTAGAAAAATAATATTCAAATCTCAAATATTGCTCTAAATTTGTATAAAATGCATTTATGGCAAGATTAGAATAATTATTTAACTCATTTGAATTTTATTTGCCGTCACAAAAGCACTTGAATGCCATATTTTTGCAAAATGTTAAAAAATACAATCGAACTTTGTTTTACAAGATTTTTTATTGTCGAACTATAGAATGATATACAGCTGTTTTCACAAGCAAAAGTTGTATTTTAGGTGATCAAAGAATAAAAAATATACTCTTAAATAACAGCTTTTACAACATTAAAAACAATAACTGCATCTTTTAACAACAAATAATTACCTTATGGTTACACACTTCAATATGCCACTAGCTATCTCAGTTTAAATTTCAACAAGTAACACAAATAATTAACTGTAAACCACACAAATAAAACACCGAGGACTTGTAAAACACCTTTACAATACCTTCCCATCAAGTTCACGCGAATACTGAGGTCACGCAACATCTTAACAAGCAACGATGGCCAACCGTTTACGAGTATATAATATTTTTCCAGTAATAAAAAAAATTATATTGCAACAAAATATGGAAAATTATGCCTATGTGAAAAAAAAAATTTCGCAAAATACAACACAAACACATGCAGCCAAAACTTATAGTGCTAAATGGAAATTTATAAAAAAAAAAATACACTCAGCCAAACTGACTGGAAATGTAGCGGTCTAGGCTGTGTTCTAAGTAAAAATATCTGCATATGCAAAGCATGAAAATGAGCAGAGTCAGAACACATACATACATTAGATATATATGTATGTACATATAGAATTTGAAAGTATTTCCATAATCACCACAACAGAGCACCTGGAGCGCATGTACTCATGCAATAATATTATGGGCAAAACGGAGTAGACGTGAAAACTACTTTCAAGCAGAGACAACATACGTGTATACAAACAACACATACATACATAAATTCATATAAACAACTGTGCGTCCATTCATACTTGGCGCAAACTCTCGCGAGTCCACTGAAAGCACAGACAAACCTTTACCAATTCATATATGTATGTACATAAATATTGACAAATAAAACAAAAGCTAAAAAGAGAAATAATTCAATTTGCTAATAGGCAAAAACAAAAAACAATATCGTAATGCAAAAATGTTTTAAGTGAAGCCATAGCAATGCGAAAGAACAAAAATAAATAGGGGAATTGCCACAGCTGACCGCGTAGCGACTAGCGTTGGATTCAGCAATACAATAAATGTGGACGAGTAAATGAGCGTTGCGACTGTGTGCAATGTGCAGTGATATTATATTTGTTGTATGCAGCTCGAATACACATAGACGTATGTCCAAAAAGGGTAGAATTGGTTAAAAAATTCTTTGCGAAGAATTCTAATATTTTTATTTTTAAACAATTTGCGTGAATTAAAGGTAAAGCAATTCTAAAAAAGGTTGAAAAATAGACTCATTTTTTCAAAGTTTATCGTAGGAATATGGGCAAAGGAGTGTAATAATTTAACCATTTCATTGAACATATATTGAGTAGTATAAAAAATATTCTTTAATAATTATTTTGCTACAAAATGACGTTGGCAAAGGCCATTATTTAATCCATTTTTTAAAGGTGTCCAAGGGACGAAAAGCAATCTACAAGCAATGGTCTTTGGCAGTAGGTACGGATTTATTTTTTAAATAAAAAGATTGATTTTTAACTAAAAAAAATGCGCACAAAATTATTAAAAAAAAATTCAGATAAATCGATGCAATTAGGTCCGAATAAACTGTCCCCCCAGTTTGAAAAATGCGAATATGAAAAAATTTTGCATTGTACTCAGCGCAAGCTCTGAGTGGCTGCAGTATAATAAAAATTTCAGACATTTGAAATATTGTTTTTCACTTTAAAACCAAATTCGTATCATTTCTAGGAAACAAAGGTGCGATGCGTTTTCCATAATCCTAGAGTGGATTTACCACTTAAATAAGAACCATTAATTACATCTTTTATTTAAACTTTTTATTACATCAATTAAAATTTTAATTAAAAGCAATAAGAGCAAATATTTTTTTTTAATTTTCCGCATATTTCCATACAAAAAACAAATACTCATTTGAAAGTTAAGATTCTCAAAAAATTTTGTTACTCATACGCTCTGACAACCAAGCAATGCTGAGAACACCTTCATCACCGCGAGATTCCTAGTAAAATATTAAAGTTAACGGTTATAGCATGCAATAGTCGTGTTGATTGACATTATTGGGCTCTCAATTTCGTTAAAATTTTTCTTATACAAAAAATATCCTACGACAGCAGAAATAACAATGAGAAACATAGAAAAACATACAATGAACGAAAGACTACCGAGAGCTGCAATTAAAGGCAACACTTTAGATATTCTCAAAAAGAAGATGTCAAACCCAAAGCACAAGTATGAAGTAAACGTTGAGGTGTTGAAATAAAATAAGATTCGCAAAGTAAAATTGAAAAAAAAAATCAGTTCTAACAATGTGACTTCAGACCCAGAAAATGCAAAGAGCAACTTGCATATTAAAAACTGTCTAGAGAAAATAAAAATTAGTTGCCAAACTATATCTAAGAACTGAAGATAGTCAGATTTGGTAATAAACCTCTAGATATCAAATCTAGTTTTAAGATTATTGTTCTTGATAAGGAAAGAGAAATTATATCTGTCGCATAATTTACCCGGTCATGGGTTCAGTTATTAAACCACAAGTTCAAAACTTCAACTATATTGACTTGTAGATTAATTTCAACCGGTTGACGTCTTGGTGGAATACCCAAAAAATGTCTATATGTTACCAGAATCACTACATACAATCTAAGCTCTGTAGTGCTACACTTTCTCTTGTCTCCCTTTCGACGAAAGTGCTGAGTGGGCTGAACATTTGTCATACGGGCGCTGCGTTATTAGTTCTGCGAGCAGTCTGAAGTCAGACCTCTTTGTCGCTAGTAAGGGCTTTGTAAGC